GGTTCAAATGACTCCCCTGCTTCAGCCTGCTGAGTAGCTGGGACTACAAGTGCACACCACCATTTAATTTTTTTGTAGAGCCAGGGGTCTATTATAGTTGTTGCCTAGGCTGGTCTCAATCTCCTGGCCTCAAGCAATCCCTCCTTGGCCTCCCAAAGCGCTAGCTAGAATTATAAGCATGAGCCAACATGCCCATGTCATTTTTGATATAAATTATTCAAACAGGAATAGATGGATTTCTGATTAATAAAAATGCAGCATCATGCTAAAACCAAACAATGGACCCATTCCTTAGTCAGGATTAGACAAGCAAGTTTACTCTCACCATAATTACTTAATGTTCTGAAATACCAGTTAGAATAGATAAACAAGAACAATAAAAAAAGGCATAGGGACTGGGTACAGTGGCTCATGCCTGTAATTTCAGCACTTTGGGAGGCTGAGATGGAAGGATTGCTTGAGCTCAGGAGTTCAAGAACACAGCGAGACCTCATCTCTACCAAAAAAAAAATTAGCCAGGTATGGTGGCACACGCCTGTAGTCCCAGCTACTCAGGGGTCTGAGGTGGAAGGCTCACCTAAGCCCAGAAAGTCAAGGCTGCAGTGAGCCATGATTGTGCCACTGCACTCCAGACTGGGTGAGAGTGAGATTCCAACTCCAAAATATATATATATATATATATATATATATATATAAATTAAGAAGTCAGCCGGGCTCGGTGGCTCAGCCTGTAATCCCAGCGCTTTGGGAGGCCGAAGTGAGTGGATTGCCTGAGCCTGCGGGTTCAAGACCCGCCTGGGCAACTTGATGAGACCTCATCTCCACAACAAATCAAAAAATTAGCCGGGCGTGGTAGCGCGCGCCTGTAGTTCCAGCTACTTGGAAAGCTGAGGCGGAAGGATCGCCGGAGCCCAGCAGATCGAGGCTGTGGTGGCCAGGAGCAGCCACTGCACTCCAGTCTGGGCGACAGAGCAAGACTCCAACTCAAAAAATAAATAAAATAAAATAAAAATAAAAAAATAAAATAAAGCCAGGCTCGGTGACTCAGCCTGTAATCCCGCGCTTTTGGGAGGCTGAGGTGAGTGGATTGCCTGAGCCCGCGGGTTTGAGACCCGCCTGGGCAGGCGAGACCTCATCTCTACAATAAATCAAAAAATCAGCCGGGCGTGGGAGTGCATGCCTGTAATTCCGGCTACTGGGAAGGCTGAGGCGGAAGGTTCGCCAGAGCCCAGCAGGTCGAGGCTGCGGTGGCTGGGAGCGGCCGCTGCACTCCAGTCTGGGCGACAGAGTGAGACTCCAACTCAAAAAATAAAATAAAATAAAATAAAATTAAGAAGTCAACTATAATTTTTAAAGGCATATCAATAAGATAAAAGGATAAATGCTATACTCCATGATAATTCAAGATAGCTAAATAGAATTCAAGATAGCATTCCTATATGTAACTAGTTACAAAGTATTAACAGAAGACTCCACTTAAGATATACAGGAGATGAGCCGGGCTCGGTGGCTCATCCTGTAATCCCGCGCCTTTGGGAGGCTGAGGTGAGTGGATTGACTTAGCCCGCGGGTTCGAGACCTGCCTGGGCAGCAAGACCTCATCTCTACAGTAAATAAAAAAATCAGCGGGGTGTGGTAGTGCGCGCCTGTAGTTCCAGCTACTCGGAAGGCTGAGGCGGAAGGATCGCCGGAGCCCAGCAGGTCGAGGCTGCGGTGGCCGGGAGCGACCACTGCACTCCAGTCTGGGCGACAGAGTGAGACTCCAACTCAAAAAATAAAAAAAATAATTAAAAAAAAAAAAGATATACAGGAGATGAACTTTAAAACATGTAGAACCCAAATGAAAGGTAAAAGCATACCCATGTTTTTGGATAGAAGCCTCTTTATCGTTAAATCTGTTCTCTCTTCCAGTCTGGTCTTGAACTTCTGGCCTCAAGCAATCTTTCCCCCTCAGCGTCTCAAAGCACTAGGATTACAGGCATGAACCACCACACCCAGCCTAAAAGTACCAAATTTCCCCCAAGAACCAGACAAGCTAATTTTTAAAGTTCATACTGGAAAAAAAAAATCCAGGAAAATTATGAAAGAGAAATGAGAGTTTAACTTCCCCTTAGCAGTTATGAAAATATAAATATCCAAATAGAGCAATTAGAAACGGCACCAGGTACATGAAAATCAGATCCTAGAATAGTAACAGGTCGGCAAAGCTCAGTGGCTCAGCCTGTAATCCCAGCACTTTGGGAGGCCGAGGCGAGTGGATTGCCTGAGTTCGCGGGTTCGAGATCAGCCAGGGCAACTTGGCAAGATTTCATCTCTACAATAAATAAAAAAAAATTAGCTGGATGTGGTAGAGCGCACCTGTGTTTCCGGCTATTTGGAAGGCTTAGGCAGAAGGCTCTCCGGAGCCCAGCAGGTCAACAGTGGCGTAGTCATGAGTGTGCCACTGCCCTCCAGCCTGGACAACAGAGTGAGACTTCAACTCAAAAAAAAAAAAAAAGAAAGAGGTCAAAATTCATGTAGACATTTAGTACTAATATAGGTGACAATTAAAATGATGGCAAGTAGACTAAACTGATGTTCAGATGGCTCAAAGAACTCAAATACAAAAAGAGACAATGCATTCTAGACTAATATATATATATATAAAATTGTGCTTGCCAAAAAATGTCATTAACAAAGTAAAAATTAAAATAATTTGGGGCCAGGCATGGTGGCTCACGCCTATAATCCCAGCACTTTGGGAGGCCAAAGTAAGAGGATTGCCTGAGCCCATAGATTCAAGACCAACCTGGGCAACTTGGTGAGAGCTCATCTCTACAATAAATCAAAAAATTAGCCGGGCGTGGTGGCACATGCCTGTAGTTCCAGCTACTTGGAAGGCTGAGGCAGAAGGATCACCTGAGCACGGAAGGTTGAGACTGCAGTGGCTGGGAGCATGCCACTGCCTTCCAAATTGGGCGACAGAGTGAGACTCCAACTCGGGGGGAAAAAAACAAAGATAATCTGGGATAAAGCTTTCAATTTTCTTTCTTTTTTTTTTTTGAGTTGGAGTCTCACCCAGACTGGAGTGCAGTGGCCGCTCCCAGCCACCGCAGCCTCGACCTCCTGAGCTTCGGGGATCCTTCTGCCTCAGCCTTCCAAGTAACTGAAACTACAGGCATGCGCTACCATGCCTGGTAGCAGTAATTTTTGATTTATTGTAGAGATGAGGTCTCGCCAAGTTGCCCAGGCGGGTCAGCTTTCAATTTTCTAATTGTAAAAGTGAATTTCTTAAGCACTAGAGTTCTTAAGAAAAATAGGCAAAGGAGAATGCAAATGGTTTTCTAGCAAAGAAATATAGTATTCAACCTTATTAATAAATAGAAAAGCAAATATAAACGACAGGGAAAAATGTCATTTTTCTCCTATTAGTTTGGCAAGAGTGAAAAATTTTCTTGGTACAAGTATATGAAAATAGACATCCTCACCAGATGTCGCCCAGGGTAAGGTGCAATGGCATGCTCATGGCCACCGCAGCCTTGACCTGCTGGGCTTAACACAGTCTTCCAAGTAGCTGGAACCACAGGTGTGTACCATCATGCCCAGATCATTTTTGATATATTATAGAGACGAGGTCTCGCCAAGTTGCCCAGGCTGGTCTCGAACCCCTGGAGTATCAATAAACTTCTGGAGTATGGCAATTGTCAAACACTCTTTTTACCCGACTTCTAATTTTCTAGACTCACAAATGTCCAAAGATATATGTAAGGTTGTCTATTACAAACTTTCTTTGGTAGTAGCAAATTATTAGAAATAATCTACTCATTGGGAATTATTTAAATGAATTATTACATGTCCATAAACTAGAATACTATATAGCTGCCATAAAGAATGTAGATCAACAGATAAAGATATATGGCTCAATAAAATTTTAAGATAAGATGCGGAAGAGTGTGCATAGTATACAATCAGCTGATTTTGGGGAAGAGATGAGTTGGGAAGTTCGGAAGACTTACTTTACAAAGTGAAATTTAAAAAACAATGTCCTATCTGGGCTCGGTGGCTCAGCCTGTAATCCCGCGCCTTTGGGAGGTTGAGGTGAGTGGATTGCCTGAGCCCGCGGGTTCGAGACCCGCCTGGGCAGCGAGACCTCATCTCTACAATAAATCAAAAAATCAGCCGGGCGTGGTAGTGCATGCCTGTAATTCCGGCTACTTGGAAGGCTGAGTGAGGCAGAAGGATCGCCGGAGCCCAGTTGGTCGAGGCTGCGGTGGCCGGGAGCGGCCACTGCACTCCAGTCTGGGCGACAGAGTGAGACTCCAACTCAAAAAAAACAAAAACAAAAACATAAAAAACAATGTCTTATCTATTTTTTAAAACTTAATCCAAAAGCAAAACTAAATTCAATGCTCTATTAATGTTTGAATAATGTAAAGTTTCTTTCCTATGATTGATCAAATGTTTTGCAGATCAGTTGGTCAAATGCTATTAGTTCAGAACCAAGTCTGACATTTCTGAAACAGTGAAAATTATAGAGCATACAAATTTGAAAATGTTTTTCAATCACACAGTACTTTTATTTTTTGAGTCGGAGCCTCACTCTGTCACCCAGGCTAGAGTGCAATGGCATGCTCACGGCCACCATAGCCTTGACCTGCTAGGCTTAAGCAGTGCTCCAAGTAGCTGGAACCACAGGCGTGTATCATCATGCCCAGATAATTTTTGATTTATTATAGAGACGAGGTCTCGACAAGTTGCCCAGGCTGGTCTCGAACCCCTGAACTCAGGTAATCCTCTTGCCTTCGCCTCCCAAAGTGATCACACAGTAATTTTAGCAACATAAGCAGAATTTGTATTACTAATAACACAAATACATAATCCCAAGGAATCCCTATTTAATAAAGACAAAAAAAAAATCACCATCAAATCTTTTAGAGATTGTCGGAAGAAAACTAAGAGTGGACAGTATAGGTTGTAACAATGAAATGGCTTATACTTAAAATAAGCAGTAGATCCATCTGTTTATTTTCCTAAGTAGCTTTATTTGGTTTTAGAAAAATATATACAATAAGCAGAACTTCAGTTCTTAAATAGTTTTAAATTTAAATTAAAAGTATCCAAGTGAAAGGATAAGCATATTTCCACAGTCAGAACATCAATACTGCTTAACAAAGTAGTAGACAGGAATTTCTGTAACAAGTCAAAACATTTACAGGAATGGTTAAGAATTGAGCAAGAGCAGCTTGCGGCTGGCAAGTTAGCCAGCTCAGACTACATGTAGGAGAGGAAGGGGTGTGATCTTTTCCCCTTAGTTTGAATTTCAGAAAGCAATGAAGGTTTAGTTACATGTTCACTTACACCTAAAGGCTAAAGCTTTGAGTGAAGACATTCGAATGTGGGAGTAGAGGCCCTCCAGGGTGTATGCTAACAAGCTAACTTTGATCAAATCAAAATTTGTCATTTCAACTTGGTATTCAGGTCGATTCAGATATATTAGGATTACCTGTCAGTCACAGTTCAACTAGTATCGGATGTCAACAAAACTCAAGGGTTTAGAAAATTGTTAACGCCATTTATTTTGGATTATAACTCTGCTTTCTCCTGAACATTCTCCTTAATAATTTCACAGTATCCAATAGTGTTTGCAAAAAATAGTTCAGTCTGACAGCCCTCTGACTTTACAGTTTTGAGAAATTGGGCAAGGAAGCAACAGGCAATGTCTTAGCTTTGTTCCAACCTGCCCTTTCCTCCCATATGCTATAGTAAATCCAGGCCTACTTCTCCAAAAGTATACATCGTCCCTCCATTGGTTCTTTTCCAGGAATTGCAGTCTGATCAGTGTACCAGCCAGAGGCCAGCTTGTCATGGGATTTCCTGAGGAGTTTAAATGGAACTGGATCATAGAATTGACACCAGTAGCCAACTCATTTCCTCAAGGTATGTATTTGTTAGACAAGCAAAACAATGAGGCAACTATTACCAGCAATATCAGGCTCTGGAATCCACAAACACTTGCCAGAATGGGATAGAGGAGATAGGAAATAGACAAATTAGTAGTAGAGCTAGAGGTTCAGTTAAGAATGTGAAGAAAGTGATTGGTATTTGGTTCTCTGTTCATCTATTTCCTGCTTAGTTTTCTTGATGCAACTAAAGATCTCCTTAAACAGCGCTTTGTATTCTGGAGGTGTGGTGGTAGGGGAATCGACAGGCTCTGGGTTGACAGAGGAAAGCTCCCAGCGGCTGGGGGCGGGCTCCAATTGGGCGTTCACTCCAGTCAGGTCCTTGGTTGAAGCCCTGGAGGTCTGCACAGCCTTGTGTGACAGGGAGTCCTGTTCCTGCTGGCACTTCTTCAGCAGCTCTTCATACTTCACCTTCAGGGCACTGTACTGAGTGTCCACCTCATGCAGAAGGGAGATGCCCCTCTGCTTCACAGCCTTGGCCCTCCTGATGCAGGTCTCCTCGTGGCCCTTCACTATGTCACCCCCCACCAAGCTGCTTAGGATCGTCTCACTGCTACTGCGCTTGAGAGGCTTCCTGTGTGGTTCCGGCACAGCCAGGAACATCTCTTCCAGCAAGCTCTGGCTGGGTTCTTTGAAAGGAATAAATAGAGAGTCTGGCACCAGCTTCTCTACCCCATTCAAAAACGGGTGCTCTGACTGCAACATCTGTCGCATCTCGGCCACCTCGGCCTCCAATTCCAGCGCCCGTGCTCGGTAGGCATCTGTGGCCCCCAGCTGCTGTTCCAGTTCACTGTTCTCCTTCAACACGAGCCCATATTCCTCCTCCATGGTCACCCGCTTCTGCCGCTCCAGGCTCAGCTGGGCCTGCAACATTGTCACTGTTTTTTTCAAGTGCTCATTTTCTTCTTCATCAGGGCTTCGCTGACTTTGCAAGGATGTGATCTTCTCAGCAAATACATGATCATACACAAAGTGTCTAGGAGAAAAAATGTTGAAAGAATACATTACACAGGTCAACTGAGAATGAAACGAGGGAGAATGGTGATTGCTTTCAACTAAATATTTGAGAGGAGCTGTGGCAGTGACTAATTTGTAGCCATATTAGAGCAGTGGCTAAAAAGGAAATTTTGAGGCTGGTAAATAAACATATAAAAGCCAACTTGCTTTTTGTGACTAATCTTTTTTAATATTAAAAGTACTAGAACTTCCATTCCCAAGATCAGTAGTATGAGTTACCTTAGGAGGAAACAGGATTGCCCAGTTCTCTACCTTGGTTGCACATCAGAATTGCCTGGGTAGCCTTAAACAATACTGACACTTGGGTCCCGCCCCATAGATTCCCATCTGGTTGGTCTGCTACCTGGACTTAAGATTTTTAAAAACTCTCCAAGTGATTCCTAATACATAGTCAAGGTTGAGAGCCACTGCTGTAGTGATTTTTCACTAGGAATAAACATTAGAATCACGTGGGCAGCTTTTTACCCACACCCAGAAATTCTGACTTAGGCCGGAGGCGTGCGCTGATATTTGCATTTTGAAAAACTCCAGATATTTGCATTTTGAAAAACTCCACAGGTGATTTGGTGTACAGTCTAGGTTGAGAACCACCAAATGAAACAGCTAGCCCCTCCTATTCAGTTCTAGGCAACTTGTAACTATACTTATTTGTGTTATTATTTGCACATCTGCCTCCCCATTAAACTGAAAGCTTATGAGGGCTGCAACTGTGTCTATTTTGGCCACCGTTCTTGTATCTGGCATAGTTTGTCATACAGCAGGTGTTCAATAAATAGTTTTGTTTTTGTTTTTGAGTCAGAGTCTCACTCTGTCACCCAGGCTGGAGTGCAGTGGCATGCTCACAGTCACCGCAGCCTCAACCTTCTGTGCTCAGGTGATTCTTCCGTCTCAGCCTTCTAAGTAGCTGCAACCATAGGCATGCACTAATTTTTTGATTTATTGTAAAGATGTGGTCTCGCCAAGTTGCCCAGGTTGGTCTCGAACCTATGGGCTCAGACAATCTTCTTACCTTGGCCTCCCAAAGTGCTGGGATTATAGGCGTGAGTCATCACACCCAGCCAATAAATAATTCTTATAGATTCAAACTTGTATGTAATTTCTCTAAAGCATAAAGGCATTTCTTGTTTTGGGTTTTTTTTTGAGACAGGGTCTCACTCTGTCACCCATGCTGAGTGAATTGGCACAATTCTAGCTCACTGCAGACTCCAACTCCTGGGCTCAGCTTCTTGAGTAGCTGGGACTATAGGTGTGTGCCACCATGCCTGGCTAAATATTTTGTTTTTTTCTAGAGACAGAATTTCACTATGCTGTCCAGGCTGGTCTCAAACTCTTGGCCTCAAGCAGTCTTCTCGCCTCAGCCTCCCAAAGTGTTGGGATTATAGGCATGAGCCACCATGCCCAGTCTACAAAGGCATTTCTTTAGGCAAAAAGCTTGTTTGCCTAGATTTTTGTTTTACTAGATTTCCATTTTTTCCTTTATTCTAATGTGAGATACAACCCCCAAATCTATAGGCTATCAGAAGTAATTTATCTTAAACTATCATTTAAGACATTAAAAGCACTGAAATAAATGCTCTCAAGTCTCTAAAAAAAATGAGTTTTTACAGAATTACTAATACCCAAGAACTCTATAATTTGTACATTTACGTTAAGTAGTTTTGTTCAAACTAGTGATGGTTTAACAGCTACGTGGCGTTTCTTAAAAATGGAACTTTTAATCTACTGGAATCTAGCATGTGCCATGAAATGAGACATTCCCTGCTTGTAAATCCACAAAAAGGCAGGCTCTTACTGGCGGAGGTCATACAGCTCTTTAAGACATGAGAAGCTGGGTGTGGGTTTCTCCCGGTCACACTTTCCTGGGTTCCTTCTCCCTCGGCCAGACAACTTCAACTCCTCCACTTGGCTCTGGAGGTGATCAATGTTGGTTTGCAGACATTCAATTGTTTCAGTCAGGCTGTGAAGCACAGATAGAGAAGCCAATTGCTGCTTGTCAGGTTAAATTAAGGGCAAAAGCAGTGAGGACAGATTAGGTGTGAGCCACTCAAACTGAGCTTTCTTAATTGGAAAGGACTTCTATTTAATCTCCATTCTTCAAAAAGAATTAAATTAAACCTTATCCCATATTGACCCAAACCCACTGCGGCCACTTTCTATTCTAGTTTATACTAAATAACTTTCCTCTAGGGCTTCCTTGGTAGATTCTAGAAAACTTACCTCAGAATCTTTTGCTGTGAGGCCTTGCTGTCAGCAACCAGCTTTTGATTTGTTTCTTCTAGCTCCCTTGCTGTGATGTCTAATTGCTCATAAACCTTTGCATGCTGTTCATTCATCTGCCGTAGAAGCTCCACCTGCTTGGTCAGATACTGTAAGAGAAGATATGGACCAGGTGACACAAACAGATAAGATACCTGCACTGTTCCAACACCAGTTTTCTGATTCTCCAACAGCAACTAGTATGTGGGGGGGGTGGGCTAGTGTAGCGTTGCCATCTCTGGGCTCACTGCCCTCCCATCCCATCTGTGTTCACCAACCCAGAGCTCCCTTATCCCTGTTTGTTTCTTAAAGTTTTCTTACGTAAGCACAATTGGTTAAGTTTTTGACCATTGGTGACTAAACTCAATCTCCAGCCCCTCTTGACCCTCTCCAGAGGCTGGAGGTGGGACTGATAGTTCTAACCCTCCAATCATAACTGTAACTCTCTAATCTGGGGAGCAGTGCCCATCTATCAGGAAATTTCATCTATCAGGAGTTCTGTGCCAGGAACAAGGGACAAAGACCAAATACATAACTTATATTATGCCACAGCTTTATTTTATGAAAATAACTTTAAATTTCAATTAAACTACCTGTCTTAATAGGAAACGAATACAGGCTGTCTTTTATATGCCTAGCTTCCCTAATGCTTACCAGTATCCCTGTGTATCGTGAGGCTGGTCTAATTTTACAAAGCACATAACATGCACATGTTCCACAGAAAAATCTAAAGTGACACATGTAATCCCTCAAGAGAAAAAGCATGGAACATGCAATCAAAGAATAAGCAGAAATACTACATTTAACAGAAATAAAGCGTAAAGTAGAGGATTTCACATGACTTTCACTTGAAAAAAAGATCTATTTTTTTCCTCTGAGTGAGGCATTCTGGACAAAAGTAGTAAAAAGGACATTGACTTAGCCAGAAAGAGCTATTTCAGCTCACTATGCTTCAAATACTCGTTATTTTTACTTCCATGAGAATGTTATCCTCCGCATTCATGAGAAAGTTGCCCAACCACTTATTCTGGTCCGGCTAAGACTGCTTTCTTAATGGCCAAGGAAGGATAAAGGCGAATAATCACAACCTTAATGCCGCAGTGTTAAGTCACCTTGGCTCTCTCTCCTACTCAACTCCACCTGAAGACACAAAACACAACACATCTTCCAAATGAAATATTCATACTTTCCTGGACACACCAGAAAGAGAAAAAAAAAGCAGTTTGAAGCATTACTGATGATCAAATGGTAACAGATTGAGGATTTGACTTTAAAAATACTCTTTTTGTCTTTGGATTTTGAAATGATGGGATATAATGAGGAAAGGTAATGAAAGTCCATGCACTGAACTCACTTGAAAAAACAAACATTTGTTCTTTCTGCCATAACATTCTGGTATCCTTTTAATATAAAATATAATTTAGAATGCTGAGCTTGGAGGCTTCTGATGAACTGTAACAGACTGCCTGTTTCTCTTCACCTTGGAGAACATTTCCATGATGTTATAACTGTATAACATTGCTAGATTTGTATTATTAAAATTATCATTATAGCCAGGCTCGGTGGCTCAGCCTATAAGCCCGCACCTTTGGGAGGCTGAGGTGAGTGGACTGCCTGAGCCCGCGGGTTCGAGACCTGCCTGGGCAGCGAGAACTCATCTCTACAATAAGTCAAAAAATCAGCCGGGCGTGGTAGAGCATGCCTATAATTCCGGCTACTCGGAAGGCTGAGGCGGAAGGATCGCCGGAGCCCAGCAGGTCGAGGCTGCGGTGGCCGGAAGCGGCCACTGCACTCCAGTCTGGGTGACAGAGTGAGACTCCGACTCAAAAAAAAAAAAAATTTATCATTATATTGCTCTCAATACCATGTTGGAATAAAATCCTAAGCTAGACTTGAAAAAAAAATGCTCTTCTCGAGGCTTTTTATACAAGTATTTGCAAGGCTAACAGATTTCTTTCAAAGAACAGGCTGAATGATATTCAACTGGTTCTTATTTAAAGTGTTAAAAAAAGCATATATGACCCTTTTCAAATCTAGTTACATAACTCAGGAGCAATGTGTTGAGTAAACACTTAACCTCTCTTTAACTTCAACTTTCTCATCTGAAACACTTGGGGCCAAAAGTGTTGTGGAAAATTATTTGAATTTTAGAAAGACAACATGGTGCTCATACCTTACAGTTTATAAGACTCTAAGGCCAGGTGCAGTGGCTCATGCCTATAATCCCAGTACTTTGGGAGGCTGAGGTGAGAGGATTGCCTGAGTCCATGGGTTTGAGACCAGGCTGGGCAACTCGGCAAAACCTCATCTCTACAACAAATCAAAAAATTAGCCAGGCATGGTGGCGTGTGCCTGTAGTTCCAGCTACTTGAAAGGCTGAGGTAAGCTGGGCTCGGTGGCTCAGCCTGTAATCCCATGCCTTTGGGAGGCTGAGGTGAGTGGATTGCCTGAGACCGCGGGTTCGAGACCCGCCTGGGCAGCAAGACCTCATCTCTACAATAAATAAAATCAGCCGGGCATGGTGCGCATGCCTGTAATTCCGGCTACTTGGAAGGCTGAGGCGGAAGGATCACTGAAGCCCAGCAGGCGAGGCTGAGGTGGCGGGGAGTGGCCACTGCACTCCAGTATGGGCGACAGAGTGAGACTCCAACTCAAAAAAAAAAAAAAAAAAGAAAGGCTGAGGTTGAAGGATCACCTGAGCCCAGCAGGTTGAGGCTGTGGCGATAATGAGCGTGCCACTGCACTCCAGCCTGGGCAACAGGGTGAGATTCCAACTCAAAAAATCCTCCCAAAACAAAACAAAAGACTATCTGAGGTCTGGCAGCACCTCGTAATCAAGCATTAATATTTCTGCATGAAAAGGTATGAATAATTATAAACAGCCTGACATCAATTCAGGTCAGGATTTACTAACAAGTGAATGTGCTATAAACTTAAGGAAAAAAAATCTTGGTTTATAGAACTTTTTGAGTTCAGAATTGATAAGTGCATGTGGCTGCCAGCAGCCACCACGTAGAACTGATAGGATTAAATGAGAAAAGTAAGCACACAGCAATGTCCATTTCCCCCACCAGCTTCTCTTGGTCCCGTAGAAATCAAGGACTAATTCTCATGGGTGAGGCTTTTTCAGAACTTCTTTAGTTAATCCTGCCCTCTGGCTATCAATGCCCATAGCAGGTTCCTGTCATTGAGGGGGATGTGTTCAATCTCCTAATACTGGAGTGGAAAAAGGGTTTAGAATCACAAGAATAGACATACATATATTTCAGCTGTAGAACTTTTGCAAGCTACTTTATATCAAGTATACTTTGGGACTGATCCAGAACACTTTTAAAAAGGATAACATGAACCAGACATTAATTTATTGCTTTGTAACAGAAACTGTTACTGCCCAGTAAATGAAATATTCATATCCTCTATGAAGGACACATCTGCCCCACGGTGAGGGGCCAACTCACAAAGCAAAGTCTTTTGGCTGGGCATAGGATCAAAGAAAAGAGTCCAATGGGAACAGTAATATAGCAGGTAAGAGCACAGGCTCTGGGGTCAGAATTTGGTTTAAAGTCCTGTTTTGCCATTTATAACTGGGTGACCTTCAGCAAGTAAGCCAATTTTTCTAAGGTGAGGTTTCCTTATCAACTACCTCATAAAGCTGTAAAGATTAATATATGTGTGGGAAAGACCAGAATGTCACCAAAATATGCCTCTCTGGCTCAGAGAGAAAAGGTAATCCTGCTCCCTCTCAACCAGGAGAATAAAGGTTAACCACTGAGAACTTTAGACCCTTATAGGCCAGAAGATAGCACCAAAGGAATCTATATTAACAAACTTTGCTAACTAACTAGCCTTTGTCTGCCATGTATTTGCCTCCCAACAAGTTGCCTACTGCCCCTAGACAGAGTCCTTTTCTTTTGTCTTGTCACTTTTCTAAAAATTTACTGTTCTTTGTGAAAAATGCTTTATAGGCTAGAAATTGAAAGCCACCTCTTTGAGAATCACTCATTCCTTGGGTATCTTCCATGTATATATGAAAACATACATGTTAATAAACTTCTGTTTCTCTCTTACTATCTGTTTTTTGTTTGTTTTTTTTATACATAACACTCATCCATCATAATGGCTAAAAATACAAAAATAAACAGCAACGGTAAATGTTTATGATGATACAGAACAATTGGAACTGGCATATGCTGCAGATGGGAAAGAAGAATGATACAAATACTTGGGGAAACCATTTAGCGGTTTTTTTATATCAATATTTTTTATTTTGATATTGTGGGGTACAGTTAAGGGTTAGGTGTACAAATATGCTTTATTCAGGCACCCTTGTTGATAAGGGGTATCTTCCGGTCTGTTTTTTGTTGTAGGAGTCTGTTCCAACTAAGAACTCATGAGCATTGAGAAAAAAATTATTTTTCCTCCCCAACATAAGCAATTATAGTTTATATAAAAAGGTCAATGTATGTAAAGAGTTCAGCATGATATCTGTCATATGGCAAAATTGCCCAATAGGAGGTAGCTATTGTCATCTTTATCTGAGTTATAGTTTTCAAACTTTACACGCACTAAGATTCACCTAGAAGCCTTATTAAAGTCTAGAAATACTCAGTGGGACTAAGGAACCTTCCCCCCAAAATACTGACTTAGTAAAACTAAGGTAGAGTCAGGATTCTGCATTTTTAGCAAAAAATCCAAGTGACACTGGTACAAGTAGTCCACGGATCACACTTTGTAGAGAAATGTTCATTTTGAACATGGAAAATCCTGGAAGTCGTCTCCCCTGACCCAATGTCTCTTTCACTTATATCTAGGAGACATAAGCATTCACTGGGATAAACAATGACTCAAACTTAATGCTTACCATTTCCCTTCTTAGACCTTAGCTCAGTTAAAGTTATTCACTAAGATTAGGTTATATTTTAACTGTGTCACAGCAGCTTTCTTCATCATAACATTATATTTTCATATGTTTTTTTTTTTTTTTTTTTTGAGTTGAAGTCTCACTCCATTGCCCAGACTGGAGTGGGAGTGCAGTGGCTGCTCCCGGCCACCGCAGCCTCGACCTGCTGGGCTCCGGCGATCCTTCCGCCTCATCCTTCCGAGTAGCTGG